CAGTGGTAGTAACAACAAACAGACTCAGTAACCCAGTGCAGCCTCTCTCGGCTGTCAGCCCCTTTCCCCTTTTTTTGGGGTGCAGTTCCCTAACCCCCGGCAGGGGCGCTGGAGGCTTCCGGCAGGCAGGACAGGTGCGATGGTTCTTCCCCGGCTGCAGGGGGCGCTCCGGATAGAATAAAACTTTTAGGTAAAAAAACCACAGGATGCAACTTCAAAAAAACAAACCCAAACCCTGACAAACATCTATTAAAGGTCTACCACATAACACAGCAGGGCTGTGAGCAGTATGTAGGAGAAATTCTACTGACTGAGGGTTGTCCTCTTTGGACATCATTCTCTGCGGTGATACTGCCCCAACAAACTTCATACAGATTTGTCTTTTTCCATCGATCTTCATTTAATCCAAGAGTCTCACTTTCCAACAGTCCCCTAATTACATGACTGTACAGAATACTTTATTTTTGCAAGTAAGTGCCATCCAAAACATAGCCTGACTAAACACGGAGACATGTATTTCTAAGGCCTCTTTTTAGACACACTCTGATAAAACAGAAGCTTCAGAAGCTTATCTTTTGTAATTTTAGGGCATCAAGTTTTAGGGCTTGCGTGAAGAACGCAGTTTAGCTGAATTCCTCCCCTGGGATTAATAACATAACATTAACAGTTTACTGACAAGTAAGCTATAATTCACTTGCAACCAAAGTCCTCAAAGCCCTCGTATTGTGGAGTGTATTTGAGGATCTGGCACAATAACATTACTGGTTTATAACACTACAGATCCAGGTGTCCACTCTAATTTACCACCAGAAATTGTCATCCTATAGTGGAAACCACAGGAGTAAATGTCTGCCTGTGCCACCTCTACATCACAGCCCACAAAGTGGAGTATGAGCCCAGAATTTTTTTAGTGCCTTAAGCAACTACATCAGGCTATGAACAAAGATGGCATCATGTCGGCTAATGCTGACCTGCCACAGATACATCTGTCTGAGCCTACTCATCAAATATATTAGATGTGCTCAGTTTATGCAGAGAACTCAGTACTGAATTTAATAAATAAATAAATAAATAAGCTGCCTCTAAATAACTCCTAACACCCTTTCAGGAGGCAAATTTTGCCAAGCATAACTTAGCATGCGAGCTCCCAGAGCTGAGCTTCCAATTCTATTAAAAGCATTAAGAGGAATACATATAAGTGTGTTGTTAATACCAAAATATATGTTACTTTTGAAGAGATAAATCTATGAATCTTTCAGACTATGCCCCTGATTTCATCTTCCATCACTGCTTTAAAAAGTTGCATACACAGCTGATTCCAAGATTTCAAAAGATCTCTGCTGTATTATGAAGATAAAACATTTATCTAAATACATATTTTCTCATTACCTGTCATGTTAAAAGAGATGTCTTTTGTCAAGTAAAATTGACCTTAGTGTTTGGCTGTTAGGGAAAAATAAAAGCGCATTACCTAGCTGCAGCTCTTACTTATGAGGCCTAAAGTCCTAGCAAGCGAATGTAACACAGTGCAACAGAATGAGAGTTCCTCAGTGTGGAATCCTGCCAAAAGTATCTGTTCAGATAAATGGCCTGACAAAAAGGAACCATAAACAAGGTTACTCTTTCGACATCATAAAGTTGACGCATATCCTGCCTGAGCTAGTTTTGTATAAAACAGCAAATAAATCTAAGAGATAAATAAAATGCAGAGATGCTTTTATTTCAGATAAGTCTGCCTATTATTCAGAAACTATTTGTGCAATGGTTTTTGGCCTAACTTAGATGATTTCTCTGAGTACGTGCAACTCAGATCTGTTTCCAGCCTACATCACTACAAATGCTGATTATTTCATATCCTGTACAGCATATTTTGCATAGCCAAGTTCAATTTAAAACTACAGTTATTAAAATGAACCATCTACTTTGCAATTGCCTACAGGGCTATTTTTTTTTACATTCACAATAGTATACATTGGATAATGAAGAAGGAAGCTTGATGAGAGTGTTTGCAATGTGGGTGCAATAGCACCAAAAACAGTGTTGAAAGAGACTTTGAAAAGACTGAAAATCATTTTTCATCACTTCAAAAAATGCTTTCAGTATGTAAAGCAGAAATACTTTTACCTACAAGCAACAGCAGCACATGTAGTATCTTAAAAAAGAAATGGTTAAGCATATAGTCCAGGTGTCCTTCGGAGATTCATGGTTTAATCTCTCAACACACCACATATTTTACACAAGTTTTTTTCAAAATACCGAAACAGAATTTAAACCTAGGTCATATAACAGGTTATGAACAGTGCTGATCATAATTTACACATACTTGCATTTCAAATTAAAGGGTCTAGTGACATACCAAATCCCGGAATGCTTTTGAGACTGGATTTGAGACAGATTTTTTCAAGTCTGAGGTAGCTGTATCGCAGCAGGCAGTTCCACAGGAACATCCAGTCCATTCGGGTGCGATGGTTCATGATAATGACACTTCTTTCTCCAGGAACAAATCCGTCTCCAGTGACAACCACCTTGGCACCAAACACCATTTCCAGCAAGGCCTAGAAATAGTATCATGGCTTTACTCCCAGAAAAAAAAGCATCATCCCATTAGCAATAAAAATTAATTAGAATTATATCATTTCACTTATTCACTCACATTATTACTGGCAAACAAACTTCTGACTGTTTTCTAATAAAGCAGCCATCTTTTCCACAGTAATAGCTATTTAATGGAAGAGGAAACAATAATTAAACAGCACTGCTAAAGAGCACTCACTCTATTATAGCCACTGCATTAAACTTACCTTTCCCTGTTTTTCCAATACTGTCATGCAGGAATGTAAGTAAGAGAGTCAGCATGGATTATAACTTGGTAGGTAATCTAAGGAGAGACTGGCTGCACAAATAATCTATTGCTCAACATTCTCAGGGCTGGGAAGGCATCAGGAGCTGCTTTGCTTCCTATTTGGGACCAAATGGTCAATGTGTTTCACTCCCAAAGTATGGAACAAGCCTCAAACTCAGAAGGGCACAAACAAGAGGCTGGGCAAACAGCTGTTTCTATTTTGCTTGAACAGCCAGCAATGCTAGAAGTTCACATATAAGGCCTATTTCTTGCTTTATCTGCTATATGTGGCTCTGAAGGGTCAAGTTATAAATCAAAGGTTGGTGGTTCACCACGAGGAAAAAGCAGGCAAGAGCTAGACAGTTTAAGAAGGCCTGGTTTCAGAACCTGGAAAGTCAGACCATAAGCACATAACTAGACTAGCTGTAGTAACTACAACTGTAGAGCCCAACAGTATGCTCTGGACATGTTGACATCACATCCAAATTGCCTTTTGAAAATCACTTCTGACCCATGACCATTCCCAAATCACACAAGTGTGTAGGGGAGTGATGGTTGGTTACAGCGAAAGACCAGGACCAGGCAAATAATTAAAAAATATGGATGACTGAATGCTAGTACCTTGCAACCTTTTAATGCCTAGTGGAAACCCAGTGGAAAGGCACAAAATCCCAAGAAACAGAGGCAGACAACAGACATTACTTAGAGGTAAGACTTGAGGCCCCTAAGGTCAGGGTCACTGGCAGGACACTGTTCAACCCAGTTAGCACAGAAAAAGAAACCACCAAAACACAATTGGACATCTAGAGGAATAAACTTACCCTTTGGCTCTAACATGAAAAGCACTTTAAATTACCTCAGTACCTTCTCTTCCCCATTCTTCCTGAAAACATATATAGAAAAAGAACAAAGACTGGGGACTTAAAGAGAGCTGTACAAAGTAAAACAGCTTTCTGCTCTGTTTGTATTTCTGCCAACACTGTGCCACAGAACCTCAAAGAACACAAATTTCCTGGTTTAAGTTACCTATGAAACTAAAATGACATTCTCACAATCACAAATATCTTGACATCTTAGAAGTAAAAGCATTATATTTGCCAAGTGTTAGTACTATTAATAACTCAGCTCACCATAATTCTGGTATAGGTGTAGCTATCAAGAGTAACTATGGATCATTGCAAAAGTGGTGTAGGCAGTATAACTCAAAAAGGCAAACAGATATTTTCTTTTCAGAAAGGAGAGAAGCAGACTCTTTTTGATAGCTTAATAACAACTGTATTATATATTTAGCATCTAGTTAAACATAATAATGTGCAGGTTCTACATATCCTGATCCTAGTATAAGCCAAACCAAACTGAAACAGTTAAGTCCAATCTCACTGTCCCATACTGCTGACTCTACTAAAAAGGATATAAAATGTGGTAGCGGAATGAGGAAGGTGGAAATTTCATATATTGCAGAGGTCAGAGTCAGAGCTTTCCTGCTGGAGTCCAACTGGTACAACAGGACTTTATTTTTTGGAGACACAAACCAAGTACCTGCTTCTCCTGACTAAGAAAGGAGTAAGTGTAAGGACAGAAAACTAATGCAGACAAGGTCTGAGCCTCAAGGCTGAGTGCAAAATCTTTTTGAGTTCCCTTTCCTAAACCTAAATCCCCAAGACAGAACCCTTTTCTCAAAGATATTAAAATTGTTTTGGTTTAGGTCTAGTGTGGGCTAAACTCAAACTTCTAGATTGCAAAAGCTACCACAAACTAGTTGTAATAACCCAGAATTATAAAGCCCAGGCAGCTAACGAAAGAAAAGACCAGAATTAGAGTTTGTGCAGTCTGAAATACTAGAAAAATTAGGAGACAGAGAAAGGGTTATTTTGTGACACTAGCAGTACTCAGTTAAATTTCACCATAACAAGAAATAATGATCCCTCTATTTCCTTTACTGGTAATTATTTCTTCCCTCCTAATTTCATCACATTTATTAATGATGGAAAGGACAAAAGTTTTAGAGCATGAAACAGCTAACACCCCTTTAAAGCATGCAAAACAGAAACAGAGAAATCAGAACCTATTTGATATGTAATAAAGATAAAACTTTATTTATGCCACAAGATGCACCCCAATACGGCATTTTACTTCAGAAAAAGCTAAACAAGTCTTTCACGGCCTAGAGGAACAAAGTCCCTTGGCTTTCAGAGAACTGATGAAGAGACAGATCCATTCATGCTGCCTTTCTTCTGGAACAATTCAGGGAAGAGCTTTGTTATTGATTTCCAGACTCATACAGCTATAAAGTTGATGCATTATAAGTGAGGAATACTTCATTTCTAGGGAAAGCTCTTCTTTCTCACCTGATATCATTTACCTCTAATTCAACTACAAGGGCTAAATTCTAAGAGGATTAAGTAACAGAACAGTGAAGGTTGGCAACAATGTACCGGACAGCGAATAATTTTCCTAATGAGATCATTAGAGCAGAGTGAAAAGGAAGAATTTACAACACGACTCATTTAGGAAGTTTGCAATTTTAAAAAAAAATCCTTCTGTTTACCAGCATTTTGCCTACTCATCTCTGATCAGCATCTGACTGATACTGGATGGAGATGTCATAAAAAGGCTTTTTCAAGCACAAAACTAAGACACAGCAGTATCTTATTTATAAATTAAACTGTGGAAGAAGAGGGGGAGTATAAACAGGCACAGTTTGCAACACTGAGCTAAAACCTATGTCTCCACAGAGAGTCTTGTAGGGCCTGTTTGACAAAAGCATAAATAACTTTGAAAAAATAAAATCAAAAGTGTTAGTGAGCAAATTAAATCATGGGATTACAGACAGCTGCCCAGAACTTGGCTCAAAGTGCAACTTACCACGGGCAGTGTGAGCCAAGTGGCCACAATGCAGTCGGTGATCCAGCGATACCAGGCCGGAGAGATAAACATCAAAGGCAGAAAAGGACCGAGCATGAAGATACTTCCAAAAAAACTTCCCAGGAATAGTGCAAGTACAAAGTATATCCCTTTCCATGACACCATGGCTCTGAAAAAGAAAGTTGGCATTATGTTAGACAGACAAACTGAAATTACACAATTATTCAAGTCCATAAGCCCAGTTTGAAGTAATATTCCTCCTTTTTTTCCATGGCTAACAACAGTAAACACAACAAAAATGTTCTACTTCACAAGCAGCAGTAAGAAAAAGGCTTTATAAACAGTGATTTGTAAGGTGAATTGGGATATTAAAGGGGTCATAAAAGTATCAACTATATCATAATTTCCTCAACTTATTACAACATGTATTTCCACTCAAAAATCTTCAGCAAGCTATTTTTATTATCCAAAGGTACAAAAGAGCTATATAAGAGAACACCAGCTACATTACACCTTTCAGCCATTACCTTTGTCACTGGTGATGCACTAATGTTTGCCATTTTCTAAAGACAGGAAACTTTGCTTTTCTATTTCTCCATCCTCTTTCTTCTTGCTAAACACAGTGTTGCAGAAACTCATTCCCCACCTAACAAGGGTCTACACACGACCTCCATGAGAAACCACTCAAACCTTCCAAGACTGACCAGCCATTTCAAACACCAGTTCCCTTGTCATCCCAACAGGGCAGGCAAGCAGCAGCTGAAACCTCCAGACCCACCCTGGCTTAGAGAACTCATCACTTTTTGAAGTCTGCTGTACTGTACTTCAACTGTCCTTATCAGTTATTTTCCAACTTACTGCACCAAAAAGCCAACAGCCTTTGGTTTTTAAGGCAGTAGTCTAGACTTGAAATATTTCAGTGTCTGTGCTATCAGCTACACTCCCTTATTATAAATTGCAATGTACAATGCACTGAGCTTCTTAATGCATTAAGGCAGAACACTCAGCAATCCTCCAAGCATTTGTAATAGCTACAAGCTTTCAGAATTTAGCAACTACTACCAGCTATGACAAAGCAAATGTGGAAATATCAATTCTCTAAATTAGGGCCTAAAAATAGACTGTTTTCATCTATTTAGGACTCAGCCAAATGTTTATAAAATCAGAGGTTAAGCAGAAGTCACTTTTTGGTCACTTTACCGAATTCCTTTTTTTGACAGGCTATTTTAGAAATCATAAGAGCTCAGATAGACAGGACATCAGGACAAGAAAAACAGGAAGCTGGTGGTTTTGAATTTAAAATGAGCAATGGAAAAGTAATCCATTAAACCTTGTGTACTGTAACATACATGATTTATCTCAAGCATGGTTTTCGTACAATGTCCACAGCAAGAATGATTGCACGGCAAAGTATCTGAAAGTCAAGAAATGGCAATGCTAGTGCTGCTAGCACATGAATTTGTTTCTGTTACTTCATGTTGACAAGTAACAAGAAAGTAGCTCTATTTTGAGATATTTTTAGATTTAAACAATTTCTTAAACTGTGCCGTATTTAGAGGAAGTCCAAGAGAAGAGGCCATACAAATCTGTTAATGCAAGAAGGATATAGGAAGCTGCATTTAACTTCTGCAGCATAGTAAAATGAGAAACACTAAATACAAAGTGTTTGCTGAGAGCCGTATCAGAAGGATTTTAACACAATGAAATTTTAATTCAGACAAATGCATATTATTTACAACCTAGAGTAGAGAGCCTTCTCTTTTCTGCCAAAAGCAGGAACTAAACAGCTAGGTGTCTACAAATTCATGCACTAAGTAGGATCAATTCTCACATATCAAGGGATCCTTGAAGACTAACTCACTGAAGAAACAATGTTCCACCTGCTTTCTTGTATTTGTTATTGCAAACCTCTGTGGGGAAAGTCCAAAATAAAGGTAGCAAAAGACAAAAATCACCCTAAAAATGCAGAAGAAAAGAAAGAAACAACAGAAGGGGTGAAAAAAAAGCATGAGCTGCTGCGATACCAGATGAAAAAGTGTTCTTCTGGCATCCACGTTTGAGTCTGACTGCAAAAGGCAGCAGAGAGGATTAAAATTCAATGTGCTTGATCTAATTAGGCATTTTTTTGAGGAACACACAGAAAAACAACTGGAAGCATGTAGGATGAGACAGGAAAAACTGACTCAAAGATATAGAATATGAGTTTGTTAAGCTTTAGACAGCTGCTCTAGGTGCCTGCAAAGCTGCTCAGAGCCACCGGTCATCGACCAGATGCAATGACAATCACCCTGACTCCAACAGGCTGCTGGACAACACAGAGGCATATGCTCCAATTCCAAATACCTGACTAGTGCACACAGGTCAGAGCTAATGAGAGGAGACATCAATCTGTCATCCTTCCAGACTCTTAAGAAAGCAATGTTGGTCATTTACTTACAGGTTGTCCTTGTTGCAGTTTACACTCATCCCTCCCACAAATTATTGCATAGAGCCAAAGATTTTAGGAAAAAAAATACCTATTTTTCATTTGATGTTAAAGATTGACTTGTAAACACTTTCTTTTGCTTGTTTGTTTTAGATTAAAGGACCTGAACTACGGAAAAGACCTGAGGAAGTTCTGAATTTTTCCCTCCTCAACTGGCACCCCAGCAATACTTTCTTTAACATTACAGTATGCACATATATGTTATACTGCATTCCAGTGGGATAAACACTATGGTGTTTATTTCTAAACACGAAAGATACTATGTGTGTTTTCAGTCGATGTAATTTATAATTCCTGGAGCCACATTTTTAGTGTGATACATACCATATTTTGCTTATTGCTTCTAGATAACACATGACATATACTTTCACATGTACATATGCATTTATCTAGGAAAATGGATGGACTTTGTCTCTGAATTACCTCCACCACAATAAAGCATCTACCATGCAAAGCGGTATGAGAACAGCAAAACAACTTCCCCTGAATGAATTTGAGCAAAACTGCAAGATGAGAAGCCTGTGATAATGCTAAGAAGTTAAGAGCAGGGAACAACCACCCAGCTGGCCTTCTGAAAACAGTATTCAGCAAGCCCATTTTAGTAAAGAGGTAAAATTGTTAATACATTCAACCCATATGTTAACATTTGTGTATTCACAGGGTGGAGTTACAGCCCCAACAACAGTTTACATGATTTAAAATACATCTGCAGACATATGTGAGCAGAGAAACATTTACATATATTGTCACTTTAGCCAACAGACAAGGATGGATATTCATCATCCAAGCTGCTGGGCACCTTGGCTGCCAACAGCACATGCCCTGGGCTAGACAGCAGAATTGCTGTTCTGCATGTGTTTAGAGCAGGGAGGGCAGAGGAGGCTGAAGTCTCAGGCTGGATTTGACACTCTCACCAGACCAGGTGCACTGCTGAAGCCATGTCCATGTGCACTCTCTGACTCAAGTCCCAGCAGCTCCTTGGCTAGGAGTACAGTGCACAAGTTTGTAAATTGTGCAGAGCCAGTTCTGGGCAGACAAAATAATTACTCACAACTTTGTGACCTACTAAAGCTTCAGTACAGTTTGGGAACTGGCCTGTCTCTGAAGCAGCACAGTCATGTTCACACAGTGCCACAATTTGCCTAACCAACCCTCTGCTGCCTGCCTCAGCTCCGTATCCTCACCTTTTCCCCTTTCCAAAAGCAACCCCTCTCCCAGCCCTGCATCCCACATCTCCCATCCCCATCCTGCAAGACCCCTCCCATAAACACCGATTTCACCCCCTCTCCCTGCAATACCAGCTTGTTCGGGCAAGGGAAGAGCAGCAGGTTCCAAGTGGCCACACACTTCCTGGAAAGGGAAGCTGCAGTGCTGAGGACTGCAGAGCTGGCACACAGGCTCAGCTCTTGAGTCCTGCCAGGCCAGACCAGACACACCCATGTCAGCTTGTGTTGGCACCGCAAGGGTTGTACCCAGTTTACCTTTCCAGACACCTACCACCAAAGACAGCAGGGAACTGACTCTACTATCATCCTTGTGCCTCCCTCAACTCCTCGAATACCTACCTGAGAAACAAACTGTCTTTAAAGAGATGTCAGCCATCCCAAATCTAACACCTGCATTCAACAAGAGAAGTAATAGCTGCAAACCAATGCAAAATACATGCCTGCAACTTCAAAATATGATTAAACACCAGCCAAATAATCTCAAAGGGGAAGGAATACTTAATGAGGACTTGCAAAATTATCTAAAACAAATGTTAAAAATCTCAAAACAATGAAAGTTGGAGCTGACTCACATCAGAGATGAGATACCCAAGAAATAAACCAAAGGATTCCACAGGAAGTCTGAATAGAACCCAAGCATTTTCAAAGTACAGAAGTATTCTGTTATTGCTGCTGACAACTATCTCTCCCTAATGCAGTAATCATCCTCAACACTGGATTTAGCATGTATGATGGCCTTCATGTATCCTAAAGCAACCTTCCGTTTGTAATGTGGGTCAGAGCTGTGGGAAGACAATCTAAATTTTTTTACAATTCAGGCTAAAAGCTGCAAAGAGTGAGAAAGACAGCACCCTCATACTGGGTTTGTAGCTCTTCATCTATTTCATGGCAGAACTCCAAGTTACTGGGGTATTGTACTTCACATGTTCTTGTTGCCACAGCAGAAGAAAAACATGTTCTGTCTCCAGGTAACAGGAAACAGTAATTCTTAAAATACAATTTCTGCTATACATTTCAGTTAATTTCAAAAATTCTTGGCTACAAGGGGACAAATCACTTTCCCAAACAGCTGCATTTTTGTAAACTTCATCTTTATTAGAATATTGACTGGAAATTATTTCAATATTCTATGTTAGCACAGTAACATAAAGGAAAGGCACCTTCCTGTGATGGAATTTTGGCTTGTTTTGCTTATCACCTAAATGCTTTTATTGAAGGTACAGCTGGAATGACAGACAAACCACATCTCACCATGATGATGATTTCAAAAGGCTTTTAACAGCCTGTTCTCTACAACAAAAGTCTTCTTCAGCACTGCTTCTATGCTTTGTAAGTAGGCAAAGGATGCAAAATAAGTTTATCTGGAACGAAATTAAAAAGTTCTAAACTTAAAGGTCTAGAAGAACCTGAGCATGGCATTAAGCAATACTACCTGACAAATAGAGCCAGCTGCC